ATGACGTTATTTCTCTGTTTTAGGAAAAATGCCATAAGGCCCTTTTGTCATGGGCGCAATCATATATATGGATTATCAATGCATTGAACTGATAGGGAATTACTGGTCTTATGTTTTAAAGAAGGGTTTAAATACCTTTTTAAGGGTATATGACATCGGAGTCTTAAGGCCCGGTCCCACTGGGGAGCGGATTAATTGCGCATGAATTTAGCATACAAATTTCGGGCGTTCGCTGTCGTTCGCAACAAAATTGGCCAAAAATGACAAATTTCGTAGTATGAATGACGGATATATTAAATAGCATAGCGAAAATATGACGAACAAAAGCGGATATTTCACGAATAAAAGCGTATGCAATAGCGGATGCTCTTCCATGAGGGGTACAACTGGTAAATGTTGACGAATGTATTGCAAACACTGCGGATTTATAACGAACAATCACGGGTGTATATCGCATGTATTGAGGAAACGGATCGAATACATTGCAATTATCTCGGAAGTATCACGGATGTATTGAGAATGCATTCCGCACGTGTTGCAGAAACAACGGTTGTATTGAGCACGCGCGGCATTAGCGTTGCGGTCATAAAAAAGAAGCGCGGGCTTTTTAGCATCACTTTTCATACCAACACCACACCGAAAACATGTCCGGCCGTAAGAGGTCAAAGAGGCAGGGGATTAAGAAGCAGAAGACTAAAGCTGATACAGGAGCTCGAGGGAGGGTTCCATTTCCCACCCCGCCCCCTCCAGCGCCATCCCGGGCTGTCGCCAGGTCTCCCACCCCACCTCCTGAAGCCGCTGCTGTCGTTGAGGTACTGGAAGTCGCTTCTGGTCCTAGTCATGCAGGAGATTCTGATACACTTCCTATTGTTGGCAAGGGGAAGGGTAGTGGAAAGAACAAGGAGAAAGCAACAGACCAGCAGCTAGAAAGGAAGCCAAGGATGAATTTCACCCTCCCGTCAGAACAAGAGGACGCCGTGTTTGAGTGGCTGGAGGAAAATGAGTTACTGTGGAGAAGGGGACACAGGCTGTTTAAGGACACAAACAGGAAGAAGGCCTTGTGGGAAGAGAAAGGAAGGGACCTGGACGTGTCCTCTGAACATCTGCAGGGCTGGTGGAGGGGGATGCATACATGGTATGTGAAGCTGCACAAGGTCAAGTCTGGGCAGGCTGCGAAGAAGCTAACAGACAGAGAGAAATATGTGCTGCAGAAGTGTTCCTTCTATGAGGGAGAGCTGAGACACCGGTCGTCTGCACCCATGAAATCTGTAAGTAATATTGTGCAAATTGTTTTTTCCTTAATTTGATGCCTTTATAGCGCAAAACCATGGAACTTTAACTTATTTGTTTATACTTACAGCTGCCTCGTGACGTGGACCCTGACGCTGCAGAAGTTGCTTCTGATGCTGAATCAGAAGTTGAGAGTGTCATCCCTGTCGAAGGCGACAGCGAAAGGGAAGTGGAGACTGAAGGGCTGCTCTCTAATATAGAGAAGACCACTGCACAGGCCTTAAAAGGTGCAGTCTACAGCAGAGGTGGCACCAGCCGTTCGACGAAGAGAAGGCACCAGGATGCTGACGAAGAGTGCTTGAGAGAGATGAGGGACAGCATGAAGGCCAACACCCAACTGCTGTCCCAGCTTGTTTGCGAGAAGCCATCCTCACCCAGGGAGCCCTTCATTACCTACGTGTCGGACACGCTAAGAAGACTACCCGATCATCAGTACGATGCCATGATGAGAAAGATCACATCCCTGCTGCAAAACCCTAACGCCATCGACTTCTCCTCGTCTACTAATCTCCACTCTATTCTACCTGCAACATCCAAGCCGACACAGTCCCAGTTTACCCCTCCTCAGGGCCTGTATCACCCCCAGTACCAGCTAACACAGCAGTTCCAGCATCCACAGCAACCTGCCATCCCCCAGTACCAGCTAACTCAGCAGTTGCAGCAGACACAATCACTTGCTTTCCCCCAGTACCAGCCAGCACACTCTCAGCAGACAAGTACCAGTGGTGCCACTGACCAGCCAAGACGTTCAGACACTTTGTCTCAAGTGTTGAAATTGACACATGACGTCTTGGATGACTCCATGAACCTGTCACTCAGTGGATCGGGGGATGACAGTTTGTCTTCCATGAGGTCCCTGAACACACCTCCTGCTCCACTGCCTTCGACTCCTGCATCTCCACAGGCCTCTCAGTAGATTTATGGCCTATATTGTGCAATGGACAGTTCACTTGTTTATTTGATGTTTTCAGTACTCATAATGTCCCTTATGAACAAAATAAAAGACAGTGTTTGTTAACTTTGATTTATGTGCCTCTTTTTTGTGACTTCCCTTACATTAATGAAAGACAATACATTTTGAACTTGATATAAAAGTATGGCAAACTTCAAAATTCATCATACATTTATTATACATCATCCAATATTACATTCTTGTTAATTAAATCATCAAGAAGGTGGCGAAATGAACCAGTGTTTTGAAGGTCTGTCTTTACACTAAGTCTATCATTTTGTCTTGCCAGGCTACGGAACCAGCAGGTGAATTGCACCAATGCTTGATGAGGTTGCGCTGCATCTTGCCTTCTTTTGAAGCTCTGTTAGGTGCTTGGACTTCCACAGTGTCGAATAGGTTTTGGCCCCTTCGCCATTCTCCGGGCTCCATTTGTCCATTTTGCAGCTGACGGTCTAAAAGTCTGTTTTGCAGGACTGGGTATCGGGTGCGCATCAGGTTGTGGAGCAGAATACAAGCCTTCACTATGAGCCTGACTGTTTCATCATGGTGCTGCATGGTGGTGAGCAGTACCTGGAATCTATTGACCATTATACCAAAGGCATTTTCTACCACTCTCCTTGCCCTTGACAATCTGTAATTGTAGATGCGCTCTTCCCTGGTCAGGTTCTTCGCGCTGTATGGCTTCATCAGGTATGTTCTTAGGGAGAAAGCATCATCACCAACAATGAAGTAGGGAACATCTTGTGTGTCATTGGGAAGGGGGTCTGGACGTGGCCAACCCGTGATGTTGTCGCTTTCTAGACCTTGCTTCAGCTCACTGTGGTTGTAGATTTGGGCATCTGATGCAGCGCCATTTCCTGATATGTCAGCCCAGAGGAATTTGTAGTCGGAACTGACCATGCCAAACAGTATGATGCTGAAGAAGCCCTTGTAGTTGTAGTATTCCGACCCTGTGTTGGGGGGAGCCTTGCATGCCACATGCTTGCCATCAATGGCACCAATGGTGTGAGGGAAGTTCCACCTCTGCAGCCAGTCATCAGCAATTTGCCGCCATTCTTCTTCGGTGGTTGGGCAAGTCATCTGCTCATCAAGGTACTCGTCCACTATGGCCTCGCATACGTCTCTGACAACTTTGCTGATGGTGTTGTGTGGCACCCTCCAGGCATACTGCATGTCCCTGTATTTTGTACCAGAGGCCAGGTGGCGCAGGGTTACTGCCACCTTGAGACCAGGCTCCAAGTTAGGTCTGAAGTTGGTTTGTTCCTTGGTCAGTCTGGGAGTGAGCCGGTTCACCACTTCGTCAAACATGGCTGGGGACATTCTCATGAAATTGTGAAAGGCATGTGGATCTTCATTACGCAGCTCTATCATCAGCTTATTGTACATGCCAAGGTCCAGTCTTCTATCAATCCATGGTCTCACCCAAACAGCTCTATGATTTCTTCTTCGCCTTCTTCTCCTCCTCTGCATCAATTGCTGAACTTGGAAAAGTTGATTGTTATGTTGTTGGATGGTAGCAACTATCAAACGTCTTCGAGGATCCATAACTATATTTGTACTTCTCCACAGCTACACTGGCAATGACTGGCTAATATGACTATTTCTGCTACTTTATATAGTACTTGGGTTTACGTGAAGTGTTTGTTATGCACTCGCAATTTGTTCGTAAATCAGATGCAAAGCAGACATTATACAAACGCATTATTTGTGGTCAATCCGTATGCATTCGCTACGAATTATTTTAGTTCGTTATATGGACGTGATAGTCACGCTATATATCCGTTTTACACACTGTCCCAGTCCACTGCCAAACCGCAATACCCCGTCAGTTGCGGATATCGGCGGAAACCAGCGGATATACAGCGCAAAGACCGAGTATGTTTTGCGTACGCATTGCGTATGTATTGCATATGCAAGGCGGATGTCATCCGCAATCAAAATTTTGAGCAGCTCAAAAATCCTGGCAACGGAAAAACGTGCCTTTGCGGATAATTGCGAACGTGTACGGATGTCGGCCGACTCATACAAGCATGTTTCACGAATATTGCGAATGTTTAGCGAATATAAACCAATTTTGTGCGCAGTTCGTACGCAAATCTTCCTTAACGCCAGTGGGACCGGGCCTTTAGCGACAATTTAAACTTTGCAAGGCAAAATTTAAACATTCTTCAAAAACAAAATACACAAAGAATTACACGAGCTGCTGTTCCGCTTCAAGAACCTTTTAAAGTCCGCCCCTAGGCCAAGAGCCGAAAAAAAAACTTTGCAATTTTCGGGTTATTCATCATTTGACGTACTCAGAAGGTTAATTAATCAATGACAGAATACGCCCAGAAACTTGCACTTTCATCAAGTATCAGACAATTGACGACGCTGTTTACATTTTTAAAAAAGTATGAGACGGGGGCTTTATTCTTTAAGCTGATATTGAGAATGCATTTTAAATTATTCCCGTTCACCCTTCAGATTACGAATCACTGGGCTTGACAAAACATCTTAAACTTGAAAAGATAAATGTGTTACTTCTGAAACATTATCCCTCTATACAGCTGCAAGTGATCTTGATTTTGTGGGTACAATAGATTTTAAAATCAGGTGTGGCATTTACGTAATTTATACGTAAAAAATTATGCATTTGAATGAAATAATAATTTAAAAAATATTGAATTTAAAACAAATCACTATTACATAAAGTTGTGGCTATATTCAAGAAACGCTTTCGTTAAGACAACAAGGTAAGACAACAGAGAGTTTAACTATGGCAATGGTCTGGGCCGTGATCCTTATGTCCGGCGTCTTAAGTACAAGTGCACAGCACATTTATCCGAAAGAAAACAGTCGCTGTGTCAGTAATGGAGAGACAATGATGCAGATTCGAGAACTTGTGATCCAACAAGGGGGGATCAAAGAATCTGTAGACTCCTTAAGGCGAATGTTGAGGAGACTCAAGGATGATGTAACCAGTACTGTTGATTCCTTAAGGCGTATGGTGGAAGGACTCGAGGATGATGGAACCAGTTGTTTTTGTCAAGATATTAACTTTTATTTAATATATAAAATTTAAGATATCCATGTTTTTTTTTTTCATTTTAAATAAAAATAACCCTTTTCATGCTTTTAATACATGTAATCATGAACCCTTATAATTTAATACGAATAAAGTGGGTTGCTGACATCTCTGCAAAATATCTAATTTTACTTGCTTGTATTAAACTAAAAGGATTTTGAAATGAAAATATATTTTCTTTATCGCGTTTTTCCTCTGCTAAATACACCAGAACAATAATTAATTCAAGGAAGTGACGTCATGCACCAGCTGACGAAGGGAAAGAACTCATCCCTTTACGTCTCCATCACACTAAGAAATGGTACAACTCTGTATGAACAATTTCAAGAGTTTTCTGTTGCTGACGAAATCAACAAAGACAGACTTTATCTCGGGGGACCAGCTACTGAGACTTTGGGTAGTACACTGTACGGACTTCTACAACATCATATGTGGGATCAGGTGTCATGATTTGCCTGATCCCTGCCAGAATGGAGAAATCTGTGTCAATGGACCAAACAGCTTTATCGGTACTTGTCCAGAAGGTTTCTTGGGAACAAAATGTTTTAAAACTTCGAGTTATTTTTGAGACAATAATTTTAATAAGTAAGAGTTATTTCTACATAATATGTTAATTATTTTTTTTACTCAATCACGCTCTTTCTTGACATATTTAAGTGTAAGGTTTTTCTTTGTGATAAATATAATATACAACCACTGGAGGTTTTAACTTTTTTTATCAAAGAAAAAAAATCCCCATATTTAAATGTTATTTTTATTTCTGCAGCATGGAAATTTTTTTCATTTATTTAAAGAAATGTTTTAAAACATTATGAGACTGATAGGAGATTTGAACCGTAATACACTATTGTTTATCAGCAGAGCTCTGTAGGAGGAGTAGCGTTTTAAAGGAATTTCACAGAAAATTCTATTTTTAGTAACCATGGCAACACCGTTCATCGAAATCAAAAACCGATGCACTATTTTATGTATCTTAGTGTAGTCTAATTGTGTGCCAAGTTATACTGAAGTCGGACTTAAACTGTAGGAAGAGTAGCGTTTTGAAAGCATTTTGTAGTGTATTTGAGGGGGGGGGTGTTATATTTTTACATTTGAGATCGGGCTCGGGAGCCTGTGTAATTATTCTCTCTCTTCCGGAATTTGCACCACGAGGCGCAGGCCACCATTTTCAACAGCACAGATTTGTGTAAGGCATTTGTTGTCGTTTTATTGATTAATATACATAATATTTTACCTAAAGTGATTTGTGTCGTCAATTTTATACAGGCTAAATTTACACAGGCTCCCGAGCCCGATCTCAAATGTAAAAATATAACACACACCCCCTCAAATACACTACATTCCCCCCCATTTTGTGGAGGAATGACCCGATTCCGACAAGGCGCAGGCCATTTACAATATCATTTATGAACAATTTTACATAATAGACAAGAAAGATTACCACCTAAAAATGTACAATACCAGTTAATTACAAGATGTGTACATCTTGGGTTTTCGGAGAATGTCGACCAAAAAGTAGGTCACAGTGACCTACTTTTAAATATCTCAGGTACGTATTAGCTTAGAATCATCAAACTTTGTCAGTTTAGGCACCTTGGGTTTTCGGAGAACGTCGACCAAAAAGTAGGTCACTGTGACCTACTTTTGAATATCTCAGGTACGTATTAGCTTAGAATCATCAAACTTTGTCAGTTTAGGCACCTTGGGTTTTCGGAGAACGTCGACCAAAAAGTAGGTCACTGTGACCTACTTTTGAAATTTTTTGCCTATATTTGATTATATCTGGTACTTATTGGCTTGGAATCATCAAACTTTGTCAGTTGAGGCATCTTACGGTTTCATTGAATGTCCAACAAGAAGTAGGTCACGGTGACCTACTTTTGAATATCTTGGATACTTATTGGCTTAGAATCAGCAAATTTTCTCAGTTTAGGCATCTTGGATGTTTGAATAACGTCATCCAAAAATTAGGTCACCGTGACCTACTTTTGGCATTTGATGGCTATATTTAATTATCTCTGGAATTAATTGGCTTAGAATTGTCAAACTTTGTCAGATGATGCATCTTGGGTTTTCAGAGAATGTTGACCAAAAAGTAGGTCATGATGACCTACTTTTGAATATCTCAGGTACTTATTTAATTAGAATCATCAGTCTTTGTCAATTAATGTAACTATAGTCCTCAGAAAATTCCAATCAAAAGGTAGGTCACTTTGACCTACTTAAGGTATTTAATAATTATATTATAATATCTTCAGTCTTAACTGGCTAAATATTATCAAACTTTGTAAGTTGATGCATTTTGGGTCTTATGATACTAATAGAGTTGGAGGCTTCTAATAGAAGTGATAGATTGTACAATTTATCAGAAGAGCGATTCAAGGCCCTTGGGTCTCTTCGCAAGTGAGTTAAGGCTATATGTATGGAGGTTTATGTGCAAAATATCTAATTAAATTCCTTAATTGCTCTACCTACCGCACAGAAAATGTTAAGACTGGTTTTATAATACATTCTTGGTACCCACGACATGCGATAGCCAGTTCACATTATGACGTCATATTATGACGTCATCGACCTCTACTACACAAGTTTATAAGAAACATCAACAAAATCTCCTCGGCGCAAGGGCATACCTTACTTTGTTTAACAGTAACAAGGTATAAAAAGACGCAGGATATTCAAAGGATTTAAGATATTGCTGCACAAATGTCGGCACTGTAATTGTTTAGTTACTATTCGTGCAGTTTTAAGTTTAAACAGGGTAAAAATACACAGTCCAGTGTAAATTTCCTAAATTTTTTTATCGATTGAGAAAGTGCATAGGATTTGTGCAGCAATTTTATTAATTTCAACAACATTCTCCTTAATATTTTTCATTGTTTATTTTAAATTAGATAGGATATGCCCTTGCGCCGACGTGATTTTGTTGATGTGATTCATTACCTTGAATGGGAGAGAACAATGACGTCATAATATGACGTCATAATGTGCACTTGCATTTATAAAGTGTGGGTACTATGTATGTATAAGAAAATCTATTTCAACTTTCTCTGTACACAAAATATACAATTTATGAATTTTTATTAGCTCATTTGCATAGAAATATCCATATTTAGCCTTAACTCACTTGCGTTGTTCCAAAAAATTATGAGGAGAATTGAATCTATAGAAATGTACTTATTTAATTATGATGCCTACTTTATTATGATGACTATATGTGAAAGATACGTACCGGTATAACATCCTCTCTAATTATTTCCAAAAATAAGCCCAATGTTGCTTTTTAAAACATATGTTGCGATAAGTATGAACCAGTAACTAACTGGTGGACGTTTTCTTTTTTAACTTACCAGGCAAACACGGATTTGTCCGTTTTTTTCTGAATGCAGCTTTAGAATTAAATGTTGTTCAATAGGCTTCCACCCACGATTTTCATAGTTGATGTCTTTGTTGCATAAAATACATATGGCTATTCCATGCTCAATGGTCTGCCGAACATTTTCTGATATTTTTGCGTCTACAACCAACTCGCGATAGCCAATGCCGTTTCCAAGCGTTTTTAATAATACTTTCTCATCATGGTCTGGCTGGACGAACCGCGCCATGACCATGAGTGTTACGAAATCACAATCATCCCGACGTTTGCGTTTACTATATTTGGATATAAAAGCAAACCTCTGGCTGATGCTGATCACGAATTAAACACATTAATATTTTTACAACGGATAGAAACGGACAAAAACTGGACATTATCGCAGAAAAATAGAAAAGAGCTGACATATCGGAAAATATTTGTTAATATCGGATTCTTGGAAGTAGTACAGTGTGAGACATTATATCCAGGATTGAGGTTAAAAAAATGGAGGTTCAGTGTAAACCAGAAAGGTAATTAGGGAGGACCGTAGCAGGAAGTCAATAAGTAGTATTAACGTGAGGATTAAAATGATGATCAAAGTTTCTTCGTTATTAATTTGATTTCATTTGATTTATGAAGAAATGAATTAATGAAGTAGACATTTTTTTTAAAGAAAAACCATTCCAACAGAATACAACAGATGACTTCAAGTATTTAACTAGATGTTGAAATATCAATTGTATTGAGTATAATAGACAATCGTGACTCTCGCTGAAAAAAGAAACATGAGAAAAATACTTTTCACTTAATTTTCTAGATGCATCATACAAATCGTTATGTGTATAAAAATTTTCCGACGGAAATGACCCAATCAAAAAAAAATCGGATATGACGACCATCCTGTTCCGTTTTCAGGACGGTCTTTAGTGTTCCGCCATTTGACCAGCAGTATTCAAGGTGACAGCATGGTTACTTCTTGCTGTAAGTTATCTTTAGAAAATGGACGCTTTGTGGAGTGGAGGTATACACGACGAAAAACAACGAATACAGAGTAGATCTACGCGAATGGGAATCGGATCAATATTCCAGCAGCAGGGGAACTAGTTTAAAACTAGACATTTTTTAAACATGAACAATGGCTAAAGACATGATTGATAATACTTTCAACAAGAAGGAAGAGTTAAATTACCACACGGGATGTAACATTTTTTGTACAATTAAAAAGGACAATCCATGTGTAGACATTCATTAGTACTGGCAGCCAGTAGGCCAAGAAACACTCGCTCCAACGAAAAAGAGTGAAAAAAGTTGAAGTCTCATGTGACTTAGATAGAGAAAGCTATTCCTCTTCGATTCACTCGTTCCATGTTTCATGCGCGATGATCATTTGAATCAATTAGGCCTGCTCGTGTGCCCTACCTGTAACCCGCTGGATTATACGAAAAGCAACGGTGTAGGGAAAAAACTTCTTTAAGAACAATAATTAGCATAAATATTGCAATACTATTATATATATTACTAGAATTATTTGTATGTCTTATTCGCTCTACAGGTCAGAGACCAGAAGAGCTTATGCGATGGTAAGGTGTCCGTCTGTCTAGCTGTCTTTCTGCAAAAACATTTTCAAAACGCTACACCTCCTACAGTTTTAGGCTGACTTCGATCATCAGGACTTGAGTAACTGTTGTTGAACTAGAGTAACATTGAACCCGATATAGTTTAACTGGAGTGACGTAATTTTTCTACCATAGTTCTACCAACGGAAACACGAGGGTAGAACTATGGTAAAAAAAATTTCATCACTCCAGTTAAACTTTATCGGGTTCGATGTTACTGTAGTTCAACAACAGATACTCAAGTTCATGATCGAAGTCAGCAATTGTCTGATTTCAATTTAACTTAGCACACAAGAAGACTACACTTAGATAACAAATTTAGTTCATCGGTTTTTGATTTCGATGAACAGTGTTTCCATTATTATTAAAACAGAATTTTCTGTGAAATCCCTTTAAAATGCTACTCCTCCTACAGTTTTGGCCTGATTTCAAAATAACTTGGCACACAATTAGACAACACTAAGATAATTAATGAAATGCATTTTTTTTTTCAATGAACGGTGTTGTCATGTACTAAAAATAGAATCTCTGTGATGTTTCTTGAAACATTACTCCTACTACAGATTTTGTGTGATTGCTAGGACTTCTTTTCTCTTTTGTTATAAGTACGAACCAGTAGAGCTACAGTCTTGACAGAGACTTCTGGTCAGTATTGTTTCCCTTTCATTCTGAATCGTTTTGCAGTAAAATCTTTGTCAATATGTCACATATGATAAATATGTTTAACAATAACACTGGTCATACAACAAAAATGAATCATGTTTAACTACTTCATTTAAAGACATGTAATTGATTAAAACTACATTTTACACCACAAGAGCATATAATGTGTAATGATATTCTTATGATTGCTCTTTACGAATTTTTACCCTACACCATTCAGAATGAGTAAACCCCCGCTTTTCGTAGAGTAGCGGGAAAACATTGTATGATAGGAACGTATTTTATTGGAAAGGCGTGGCCAAAGGAAGGCCAATGAGGAGATGTTTTTGTGAGATGTTGGTTCATTCTTAGCCAGTGCTTATACATATCTAAACAAGACTTTCGCAACATCAGAGTTTTTATAAGAAACGAACAGTTATGACCTATTCCTACAAGTATTGAATCTTTTGCGTGTGTCTTGTGTTTCAGGCCCCTTAGTCGGGAAGGGGGGGGGGGTTAAAAGTCTGAAAATAAATTAATGATTTGAAATCTGCTCTTTGGTATTAATAAATCATTTATGATAAAATAAAATTATGATAAAGGGGGGGGGGGTACATAGTCTGAAAATAAATTAATGCTTTGAAATCTGCTCTTTGGTATTAATAAATCATTTATGATGAAATAAAATTTATGATAAAATTTCCAAAATTTTGAAATATGTGGTTCCTGTGGGGTCGGATGCACAACTGGTTTCAAAGTGGAAATGCATTTTCCCTTTGTTACTTTGATCTACCTCTGGATTTTTAAATAACTAGAGTAAGCTTACTAAGTGTATAATTATGATAAGCAGCGGTGCCTGTTTTAAAACTGAATTTCATGGCCTCTGGTTTAAAACAAAAACCCAATTCCATTGTTTGAAAATTGTTACATGATACTCAGGCGACCTATAAGGCCCATGGGCCTCTATTATTAAATGTCTTTTTTAATTAAAGCAGAACAACGATGAATCAGCACATTCGACATCAGCACAAGACAAGGTATTATAATTATTGTTATAACTTTTTAGCTCACCTGAGCTGAAAGCTCAAGTGAGCTTTTCTGATCACATTTTGTCCGGCGTCCGTCTGTCTGTCCGTCTGTCTGTCTGTAAACTTTTTACATTTTCGACTTCTTCTCAAGAACCGCTGGGCCAATTTCAACCAAACTTGCCACAAAGTATCCTTGGGTGAGGGGGATTCAAGTTTGTTCAAATGAAGGGTCACGCCCTCATTCAAGGGGAGATAATTGGGAATTAATGAAAATTTGGTGGCATATTTTAAAAATCTTCTCAAGAACCACTGTGCCAGGAAAGATGAAACTTATGGGGAAACATCCTCAGGTAGTGTAGATTCAAGTTTGTTCAAATCATTACCCCCGGGGGTAGGGCGAAGCCAAAATGGCCGACCAAAGTTTTACATAGAAATATATAGGAAAATTCTTTAAAAATCTTCCTCTCAAGAATGACAAAGCCATAATTGATCATATTTATATGGAAGCATGCTCAGGTAATGTAGATTCAAGTTTGTTCAAATCATGACCCCCGGAGGTAGGGCGGGGCCAAAATGGCCGACCAAAGTTTTACATAGAAATATATAAGAAATTTCTTTTAAAATCTTCTTCTCAAGAATGACAAAGCCATAATTCTTCATATTTATACGGAAGCATGTTCAGGAAGTGTAGATTCAAGTTTGTTCAAATCATGACCCCCGGGGGTAGGGCGGGGCCAAAATGGCCGACCAAAGTTTTACATATAAATATATTAAGGAAAATTCTTTAAAAATCTTCTTTTCAAGAATGACAAAGCCATAATTGATCATATTTATATGGAAGCATGCTCAGGTAGTGTAGATTCAAGTTTGTTCAAATCATGACCCCCGGGGGTAGGGCGGGGCCAAAATGGCCGAACAAAGTTTTACATAGAAATATAAAGGAAAATTCTTTAAAAATCTATTTCTCAAGAATGACAAAGCTATAATTCATCATATTTATATGGAAGCATGCTCAGGTAGTGTAGATTCAAGTTTGTTCAAATCATGACCTTCGGGGGTAGGGCGGAGCCAAAAGGGCCGACCAAAATTTTACATATAAAAAATATAGGAAAATTCTTTAAAAATCTTCTTTTCAAGAATGTCAAAGCCATAATTCATCATATATATATGGAAGCATGCTCAGGTAGTGTAGATTCAAATTTGTTCAAATCATTACCCCCGGGGGAAGGGCGGGGCCAAAATGGCCGACCAAAGTTTTACATAGAAATATATAGGAAAATTCTTTAAAAAAACTTCTTCTCGAGAATGACCAAGCCATAATTCATCATATTTATATGGAAGCATGCTCAGGTAGTGTAGATTCAAATTTGTTCAAATCATGACCCCCGGAGGAAGGGCGGGGCCAATATGGCCGACCAAAGTTTTACATAGAAATATATATATAATATAGGAAAATTCTTTAAAAAATCTTCTTTTCAAGACTGACAAAGCCATAATTCATCATATATATATGGAAGCAAGCTCAGGTAGTGTAGATTCAAGTTTATTCAAATCCTGACCCCCGGGGGTAGGGCGGGACCAAAATTGCCGACTAAAGTTTTACATAAATATATAGGAAAATTCTTTAAACATCTTCTTCTCAAGAAGGACAAAGCCATAATTCATCATTTTTATATGGAAGCATGCTCAAGTAGTGTAGATTCAAATTTGTTCAAATCATGTCCCCCGGGGGTAGGGCTTGGCCAAAATGGCCGACCAAAGTTTTTAAAGATTAAAGAGGAAAATTCTTTAAAAATTATTTTCTAACAAATAGCAAATCCATGATTGGTCATGGGTCTACTTTTGGATTTAAACTTTTCAATAAAAAGCCATTTTCTACTTTTTCCTACCCTTAGTGCTCGGGTGAGCGATGTGGCCCATGGGCCTCTTGTTAATATATATTTTATATCTATTATATGTATATAAATCTGCCGCGAGTTAACAATCTCTTAAAATTGTATTCATGATTCGTTCATCACTCGAACTTGATTTTTTTAAAAATATATTTTATAGCTATTATATCTACTTTGTATATAAATCTGCAGTGAGGCAACAATCTCTTAAAATTTGTATTCATGATTCCTTCATCACATGAACTTGATTTTTTTTCAATTTAGAACAATGAACAAAGATCATCAAATTCATCAACACGACGTATACTAGTATTTTGTTACAATCTTTCAAATGAAGTTTTGTTTTAAATTCTCATTTCGGATGCTTCTTTTGGCTATACGTGTCGGACATGTCATCAAAGATTTGATAGTCGACGAACATTATTATTGAAAAAAATACAACATTCGGCAATCTTCTTGGCCACTATACGATCAGACTCCGTATTATTTGATCATTCTAAGTTCTTAAAATAAATACGTTCGAAAGATTATTGATCTATTATTGGCTATTTTTATTTTATTCATATTGGCTGCATATTACAGGTTGCTGACCTATTTGCTGTCATTTTCACTGGTTGCTAAGCAAATAACTGAAATTTACAGGTTGCTAACCTTATTGCTGTGATGCGTACAGGTTGCTGACCTTATTACTGTGGTATTTACAGGTTGCTGACCTTATTGCTGTGGTATTTACAGAATGCTGACCTAATTTACTGTGATATATACAGGTAGCTGACCTTTTTGGTGTGATATTTACAGGTTGCTGTTTTGTTGACCTAATCACTGTTATATGTATAGGTTGCTCATTTAATTCCAGTCATATTTACAGGTTGTTTACCTTATTGCTGTGATATGTACAGGTTTCTGACTTAATTACCAAGTACAGGTTGCTAGCATAATTACTATGTACATGTACAAGTTTCTGGCCTAACTGCTGTGATATTACATCATGCTGACCTAACTGCTGTGACATTTACATGTTGCTGTTTTGCTGACCTAATTTACTGTGATAAGTACAGGTTGCTGACCTAATTGCTTTGATATTAACAGGTTGCTGACTTAATTGCTGCTGGCTGTATGCAGAAGTACACATGTTTAACTAGACAGTACAAGATAGTCATTGACAAGGGAACCTATGATGCGATTAGCCTTATTCCTGATAGTGAGGTAGAGGCTCGGCAAGCATACCTGAAAACAGTGAAACACCTTGTCGATGAGGACAGGATATTTGTCATAACCTCATGTAACTGGACCAAAGAACAGTTGCTTCAGTTTTTTAAGCCTGGTAAGAAAGGACCACAATTGTCAAATATGGTTTGTGGATGTATTTAATATAAACTTCTTCAGAGTAAATACTCTCATAATATGATTTATTGATGAACATAATGTTAATAAAGTATGTATTATAGCTGGCATCTTTGTTACTCATGTCATGAATTTTAGGGTTTTGATAATACATGTAATTACATGAACAGTATACCAATCAAGTAAACGGAGGCATGTCATTGCCTTTAAATATAATTTATACAGGAGCTTTAGATTCCTTCCAAAAGTGATATACATGTCATTTTTCTTTTCTAGAATTTGAACTTTTTGAGAAGATACCAACACCCAGTTTCCAGTTCGGAGGACAAATGGGAAGCACTGTGACTTCTTTAGTTAAAGTTTATATTCAAGTTTTCCTTACTTTTGCCTAATACAAAGACACTGACCACCAGTTTACAAAAACTTATGTTTAGATTATAAATTGTTTTGTCAAAATTCCAGGATTTAGACCCATTTATTGAATAACTTGTTTATCGTATATGCAAATGACTATTATGTATTGTACATTATAAATACTATCTACGGCGATCTGCGATTTATCTTTTCTCTTAACCACTATACGATCATTGTTAGTATTCTTTGATAATTTCAAAACTGTTAAATAAATTCTAAAGAAAAGACTATTTTCCTTCTCATTGGTTCACAAAACCAAATTTGGTGCCGTGACCAGGATAAGACGAGGTACGAAGAAAAGACAGAAAAGACGAAAAGGGTAAGACATTGCTTTCTTTTCTACCTTGTATTTTTAACTGACCATTTTCATTGAAATTCTAAATTTGGTTAAAGTATTCTTTAATCAAATGGCTACGGCGAAAGTGCCATCCTTTAGTGATGTTTTAACTAAAGCTATCGACGATTTAACAGCGCAATTTTCTTAAACTGAAATTTTGAATGATAAATCTAATTGTAATGAGGGAATGCTTTCCTTCTACAAGTAAAAAGGGAGATGAGGGGCATGATGAGGATAAACAGATTAAAGAATGGATGAATTCTATCTTAAATCAGGTTAAATCAGTCACTGCTGCAATTGCTGTAGCCATAAATAAGATTATTACACCTTTTGAGGGGGATCCCGGAAAATTTGAACAATGGATAAAAGATATAGAAAAATATGCCAAGATGTCTGATATGAATAATAAAGATATTTCAAAAATAGCATATGTCACTTGTAAAAGGGTCTGTGGGAGATTTTATTAAAAGATATTTGACAGAGATAGAAGCTTCTGGTGAATTACCTAGCTGGAATGATTTAAAACAATTTTTGAAAAATAGATTTGCAGAAATTACGGATGCGCAACATGCGTTGGCAATCATGAGAAAGATGAGCCAAAATTCCAATGAGAGTGTACAAATATTTGCTGAAAGAATTTTAAAAGTTGCAGAAGATGCATACGCGTCTGAAAATTTGGAACATAAAATAATTCAAAAACAATTGGTTGATATTTTTACTGATGGTTTATCTTTTGATTTCTTGAGAATGAAAGTTTTAAGAGAAAATCCTAAAACATCAGAAAACGCGGTTCAAGTGGCAATGAGAGAACAAAATTTGCGCAAACGTTTGGCTTTAATATCTCAAGATAACGGGGATGACATATCTTCTAATCAGCAGGTAGTAAACACGACGGGAGATAATTTGTTACTAAGATTTCCAGAACTAAAATCAAATATTTTTCGAAAAGAAGAACCCATGGAAATTGATCATTTTCGTAATCAACGTTGTCACAGGTTAGGAAAATCGGGCATAGGCATAGGGCAAGATTTTGTCCCTTCCAAGTTTTGGCAAACAAACCAAATTCTAATAATCGAGGACCCAGAGTACATGTAAGAGAAGTTGCCAATGGTTTAAGAGAAGGAGTATGTAATTTACAGTGTTGGCATTGTGAAAAAAATATGGGCATATTCGTAGAAATTGTCCTGAAAGATATTATGGGAGGAGGTTTTTTTCAGCATCAAAATTCTTTTAGACCCCAATATAATCCTTTGAAACGTTCAAAACAACAGGAAAACTAAGAAGCTCTCTTCATAATGAAGCCGATGAAGGGAGGTTAAATAAATGTGGTAGGAAAACTGTATATAAAATTTGTTTAACGGGAAATCCAAGTTCTTGTCTTCAAAAATTTGGGAAAAATTAGTTTAGGGCTTTAAAAGATACAGGGGCTGAAGTATCACTAATAAGTAAGAAGATGTACAATAATTTAATTTCAAAACCTTATTTGAACAAAAAAAAAACATATTTACAAGCTGCAAATGGTGAATCACTTTCAGTTATAGGTCGAGTTAATCTTTCCTTTAAAATGAATGGGCTTCCACTTTCTCATAATTTTTATGTAACCGAAGGGCTTAATAGATGTGTGATTTTGGGAAGGGATTGGCTATCAATGAATGGAGTAAGAATGTACTTTGATTTGGGTTGTTTAAGGATTGGAAAAACATATGTAAAATTACAAGAAGATATTCATATTTCATCTTTGGTAAGGATAAATATAAGAGTTTTGGTTAAACCATAAACGGCTGTGGTATATCACGCAAAATTAAGTTCTGCCTTTCCAACAAAATATGGGGAAATTATTGAGATTCAAAACATAGATGAGTGTATGAATGATGAACCAGGGTTATTTATAAAAGAATCAGTAGATAGAGTCAGAAACACGCGTAAAGTACCTATTTTGATTGTTAACTGTTCTTACAGAGTGTACTCGTTACAACCAGGTCTCGTTATCGGAAAAGCAAGATCCTCAGACAATCGTGAGATAAATACTATAAATTTATCCAATAATTCAAGTAATTCGGAAGATTTTAAAGAAATAGACGCGCCGGAGAAATATCATTCTTATGTTATGAAAGTCGTGCAAAATAACAAAGATTTATTTGCAAAACATGATATTGAGTAAGGACATACGGAAACTGTAAAAATGAAAATTGAAACTGGAATCCATCCTCCAATAAAAAATAGACTGTATCGCACTCCTTTGAAAACAAATCATTGATAAAGCTATTGATGAAATGCTAGACGCAAAAATAACTAGTAAACTAATTGTTCAGAGAACAATGAGACGTCTTTCCACCTTTTTAAGTGTTTCAATATCATTTGGGCTGAAAAAAGTAGGAAAAAAGCAAGAAAATAAATAAAACAGCAAAATTCTCATTTCTCTACTAGGATTTTAGATCGGGCTCGCAGTTGGTATAAATATATTCTGAACAGACTTCCTGGATTATACGAGTCGACTCGGGGATAAGCACGAATTCATTGATCACGCAAAGAGAGCACACAAAAAACATTGTAACACGCTCCTATGTGTATATATGAGCTTGAATGAGATTTTTTTTCAAGTGAAGATGTAAGGGGTAGGGTCTGATTAAAATTATGATATACCTATTAATATGAATAACATGCATTTGATCTGCGCATCAAGACGGAAGCGTAAGTGAAAACGTTGTGAAATGTCCCATGTGTACCTGCATCATATGTGCATTATACATGTATTTAAGAGATGTTTGAAAATATCCGATTTGAGCAGTTTTATGTTTGAAATAGATGGCGATAAATTATTTAAGAGCATGTGAGAAACACGAGCGAGAGATGCAAGGCAGTTTGTAATTATGGAAAAGGAAAACAGAGAATCGGGTTCGGGTTTTAACATTCCTGACCGAAAGAGGCATGAATTTCAATGTAAGTAGCATAAATAAAATTCCAAACATGTAATTCTAGATCGGAAACACAGGGAAGAAACGTGTATTTCGTTTTACTATGCTGAAAGTCGCTATTTCTTGGGATTGTGTTACTCTAGAAAAAAAAATCAAATTTCAGATGAAATCAAGATTCATTCCATTAATATTAAATCCAAATAAAATTGAAATAAATTCCATACACTAAAGAAAGCAAGAATACTTGTAATTGAAATGTCGTAATAGAGCAGAAGAATCGAATGATATAAACAACAATTGCAGAAATAGCCAATAGTGGCTTTAATTAATTTTTATGCTCAGCATTAAGTAAATTTCAGACAGAAAAAAAATGCAGATTTTGCCGATTTTCACTAGAATTTCATTATACTTTAGAGACTCACCTTAAAACTCTCAGGACACTTTCTTTAAGGTCTCTTCTTGCTTTTACTCCGAATCTTATGTAGATATATCGTGTCTTTTGACTTGTAGACATTTTCTCTATGCTGCTGTTGATTTTTTTTTTAAGAAAAGGGGGGGGGGTGGATATAAGCATTTGTTAGGGTAAGAGTTGCAAATACCTCAACGACCTTAAGCTTGATTGTGACCTTTGGGTCAACAGGGGGTCAAAGGTCAAGGTCATTTATCAAGGTTAAAGGTCATCAAAAAAAAAAGAAAGAAAAGAGAGATAAACGTGAGATTAACACTTGAAGCTGAATCTAGATAAAGGTAATGAATATTTCTTTATAATTTTTTGAGTAAGGGTTCAAAGGTCAAGGTCAAATATCAAGGTCAAAGATCAAGGTCATTTGGATTTTAAGCTTAAATCGACAATTTCTCTAGTTTTTCAATGACCTTGACCTTTGACCCTGATCTATTCTTCAAGGTCAAAGGTCAAAAGATCTCATGCAGTTGGGCCCATGTCTTAATGACTTGTTGTTAAGAATGTTTTAGTTCTTCGTCAACATCATAAACTGGCACGGGCAATAACTATTTAAAATGGTTTACGAATTCTTTCGCACCAATAGAGTGAGAAGTGTACAAAACTAGTCGCAGACATTGTTGAAGGTTTCGTACCTCTAAGGTTTACGGTTTCGGAGGAGAAGAGATAACAAGGGTTTACACTGAAGGGGGCACTAACTTTAAGAGGGGTCAATCTTAGGGGACAAGAATGAAATCTCTGAAATGGTTTTAAGAGTACATATTGAAGATGCAAAGATGTTTAAAATTTGGTAAAGAACAAAAGAGGTATAAAAAGAGCTTAATTTTTCATATTTTGAATGACCTTGACCTTTGACCTTGACCTCAATTTTAAGGTCAAAGAATCTTTTGCAGTTGGCCACATTTCTCTATGACATGTTGCTTAAGAAAAGATTTTAACATTCGTAAACATCGCAAACATTCAGGGGCAATAATTCATCATAGGAATTTACGAATCCTTTCGCAATGAAGGATTGATGTCTACTAATTAAGTCGTAGACATAGGTGAAGGTCTGGAAACTCTGCGGTTTATGGTTTCGGAGGAGTAGGGATAACAAGCTTTACGACAAAAGGGGTAATATCTGAGTAAGGGGTCAAAGTTCAAATACGTTGGGTCATTTTTCAGAATAACTTTTGATATCCAGTATCATGAACTACAAAGTCTTGCGGTTTCAAAAGTCCGGCGGAAAAAGAATAATAATAAACACTAGGAGACTTATTGTTCACA